CTGAAAACTCTTCGTGTTTCCGGTCAAAGAGGGGTAGCTGTAGTCATGTAATTTTTTACCCTCCCCAAGATTTTACATATTTTAGCATTTAAATATTTAGTTTAGGCCTAATATCGCTATTTTAACTAGTTTTAACTATTTTACTTTATTTTATAACAAAAATAAAACTACAAAATTATTTTCTTTTATTTGGGTAATTGATATTTTATCTTGTTACTTTTAGCTTAGCTACCTTACATAAAATTCAAAAATACAACAATAATTTTACTTTATTTTAAGNTCCACTTTATTTTCAAGGATATTAGTGTTTTGGTAGTAGTATTATTTTAATTTTGCGATGATTTTAATCTAATCCTATCCTATTTTTGGTATAATCTTTGGAAAAAAAATATAAAATTATTTCGTTTTAATTCCATTTCAGTTAAAGTCAATTGTTAATTATATTTTATTATCTGTGATACTTTTATTTTACCCTTGAAAAAGAAGAATGAATTTTGGATCAATTTTGTGTCTTGATAGGTCCAATCTTAGGTCAATTTTCGGATTAGCCCATTAAGCCCAATACCAAATACCCACTAGCCCTTCCCTAACCCTAGAGACCCTTCTAGAAAAAGTCACCTTCTTCTACACCAAAGACCTAGACTCCACAAAAACAACACAGCCGTTTCCTCTTCTAGGGACACCAACCAACGACCCTTTCTTCATCATCTTCAACCTAAGACCCCAACCCTAGAACCCCATCTCCTAGCCATCGGCTCTTCTTCTTCAACCAAGACACAAAAACAAAAAACCCTAGAGAACACCCTCCAGCCGCCGCCACCAGCCCAACGCCAAAACCACACACAGCGACCACCGGCGACCCACCTCCATCTTCACCACCACAACTCACTGTCGCCGAGCTCCTTTACCAACTAAACACACACACACACAGAGCCGCCGGCACGCTCCGCCAAAACCCCTCTAATCTCCAGCCGTCGCAGAGAAGCAGCGACTACCACGGCCACCAGCCGACTCGCCACCATCTCCTCACACCTCTCACCAGTCGTACCACCACCCAGTATAACCACAACCCCCCCCCCCTTTCCCCCTATTGCTGACTTCACCTGGAGACTAAAAGAAACAAAAAAAAATGAAATGAGAAGGGAGGAACGATAGAGAAGAAGAACAGAAACGAATGGAAGTTTTCAGTTTATTTCTTATCTCCTTATTTTGGGATTTCATTCTGTCTAAAGTCCAAAATAAAAATACAAAACAAAAAGATTAATTTCTTCTTTCGAAATTTTGTTTTAACGACGGAGTTTGATTGAGGTCGTTTTGGCTTCGAGGTTTCCGGTGCCGATTCGAAATTCCTATTAGCGGTTCGTCCAAATTTTGAGTTCAAAACTGCCTCACAATTAATATTCAGATTCATTTCTCATTCCTTCTACTCTATTTTGTTTAACATCGTGATCCCGTTATTTCATTAGTCTATGCTCGCTCTGTTTCGTTGATTGTATGAGTTAGAATATGATTGCCCTATTCTTGAGTGTCTTGGTGATATTTGGTGTTCCATTCTACTGCTGATTGTTGTTCATATGTTGTCTGATTGTCTGGTGAATTTGTTTCGATGGGTTTGAGGGCTAGAATGAGTTCTTGATTCCATGTTTCACTACTTCATTAAGAGATAAGGCTTTCCAGTTAATATTTTGACGAAAGAAGAATTTAATTAACTAATTAATTGGATTGGTTGGTGGCTCAAATAGTGAACATGTACCATGGGAATTCGGCTCGAATATTAGAAATTTGGGGTTTAAGAATAAACGTTCATGAGATAATTTATTTCTTGTTGCTTATTTAAATCGGCCCGCTAGGAGCATGCTTAGGCCGACCACATATGGTAGGCAAATGATTAGGAAATTTACTTATTTCTTTTTTAGGTAAGAGGTCGCCCCATTAGTTAATTCATTTATCCGAGAAATGCCCCGCGAGATTTGTATATATTTTTATCCGGGGTATGCCCCGAAGTATTTGTATTCGGAGGCTGAAAGTAGAACTCTTAGTATCTTTATCTTTATTTTCATTTTTCATTTTTCTTTTATTAGGTAGGGACGACCTCGAGCCTCTTGTGTGTCTATTTTTTTTTGTGTGTTTATTTTTACCTCAATTTGAATATTTTAAAAGCCAACTTGATCATGTACGCAACCGTGATTTTCACGGGACTTGAGGAATGCCTAACACCTTCTCCGAGTCAAATGAACCCCCTTACTCGAATCTCTGGTGCAGACTTGGTTTTGGAGTCCCAAGTGTTTTAAAAGGAAAAATTATTTTAAAAAAAAAATGGTGACCTGGCACACCGAAACCAATGTCAGGTGGCGACTCTGAAAAAATCCTTTTGAACACAAATTTTTGTCACTTTCAAGTTTGAAAACCCTTTTGAGCTTTACAAATATTTTTAATATTTTTAAGAGGGTTAGTGAGGTTGAAAAAAGGGGTGTGACAGGGTGTGGGGTGGATGAAGTGGAGGTTGGCATCTGGAGTCCTATGTGACAAGAGAGCGCCACCGATACTCAAAGGTAAGTTTTACAAAGCGGTGGTTAGACCGGCCATGATGTATGGGGCTAAGTGTTGGCCTGTTAAGAACTCACATATCGAGAAGATGAAAGTAGCAGAAATAAGGATGTGGAGGTGGATGTGCGGGCACACTAGGATGGATAAGATTAGGAATGAAGACATTCGTGAGAAGGTGGGAGTGGCTCCCATTGATGACAAGATGCGGGAAGCGAGACTCAGATGGTTCGAACATGTACAAAGGAGAAGCCCAGATGCTCCGGTAAGGAGGTGTGAGCGGCTGGCTTTGGAGGGCACGAGAAGAGGTAGAGGGACGGCCTAAGAAGTATTGGGGAGAGGTGATCAAACAGGACATGGCGAGACTTCAGATTTCCGAGGACATGGCCCTTGATAGGAAGCTGTGGAGGTCGAGTATTAGGGTTGTAGGTTAGGAGGTAGTTGAGTCTTTCCTTACTTCGTACCTTTTTAAGGCTAGTATGGTAGGGTTTTTGTCGAAGTCAGTTAGTGGCAACGTTGCGTCTTACTACTCTTTCGTTTTTCATAGTGCTGGGTCTATGTATTGTCTATCGCTTTTTTTTCATTTTCATGATGTTATTTTTCTTATGGTTTTATTGGTGATGCTGATATTGTCTCTTTTCGTCTTCTTGAGCCAAGGGTCTTTCGGAAACAGCCTCTCTACTCCATCGGGGTAGGGGTAAGGTCTGCGTACACACTACCCTCCCCAAACCCCACTAGTGAGGTTTTACTGAATCGTTGTTATTGTAAATGTTATGACATATTTAAAAGTACAAATTTTAAAAATTATTGTTCATTTCTTAAACTTGGTATCCACTAAAATTATGTCATATAAATTGAAACGGCATGCAGGAGTATGTGTAGCGATCCAACATGGCATAAGTTTCGGCATGAGAGGGGACTTGAGAATCGTTAAGATCTAAATGTACCTTTTTGAACCATGAAATGACATTCAAATTCAAAGTAAGGTTGATAATAACTCAGCAAAAGTAGAAGTTTGCTCCCAATTCAAAAGAGTAGTCTCTTCACAACTATACGAAAGTACGAAACTAGAGACACAAATGATAAAGGAAGTCAGATTATGATGTTCAGAAAAGTTATTCTTGATGGAAATAATGATCATGAATCGAACCAGATCGAAACATTCAACTGTCGACGGACAAAGCCGGAACGTCGACCGCAAACGAAGGATGGCCAGGCCCCCCCTTTTTTCTTCCCGGTCCAATTTCCATTTGTTCTTGATTCAAGCATTAATTTTTGATGACAAGGATTTTGATATCAATAGTAGGAAAAGTTGTGTGCTAGCTTCACCAGTTTTTGAATTCAAAAATAAGACTTAAAGACAAAGCATAACGGCAAGGATAGATATGCGTGCGACTTATAAATCGCAGTTTACGAATACAACTTATAAATAGTAATTGGTATGTGTCTAAAAAATCACTATTGTGCATGGACTTAAAAATCGCAATTGGTGATTGCAACTTATAAATCACAACTGTGAGTGCGAATTATTAAATTGATGAATGCGACTTATAAATCGCAATGGCTGAATACGTCTTATACAATGTAAGAATGCGACTTATAAAACGCAATCACTGAATGTGACTTATAAATCGCAATCTGTGAATGTGCCTTGACTCGCAGTTGCTGAAGCGACTAGCAGTACGCGAATGTAATCGCAGCGTCGTTATAATCGCAATTCGCAAAGGAGGAATGCGATCTATAATCGCATTTTTTATATTCTTTATTTCCATTAGCAAGCCTGACTAGAAATTCTGGCAGAAACTTTCATATACCACAGTTTTAATACATTTATTGTCGTGCATCTTATTTTTCTTTTATTCTTGCTATGCAATTAAAGCTTTGATCTTAATACTACTTTTTTCCTAACTATTCTCTTTTGATTAAGTAGGCCCCAATATTTCATTCCTTTTCTGTTTGTTTAGATATCAAGTCAGCGAGTCACCCATTGAAAAGATGCTTCTTATAATATTCTCCTAATGTATTTTTCCAATCCCTTTTCTTGGTAGGCAAAGAGTGAAATCTCAAGAGACATTTTTAATATTCAAAATGGTGAAAAACAAAGCAAGGTCAATGAGTTTGGTATACTTCTAATTCTACTTGCACATACTTTTAAGTATTGTCATTTTTCATTCATAACTCAAATCATAACTTCAATTACACTATTTTGTTTATGTTTAATATAAAAGTTAGTATTGTTATTTGTCTCCTTTCTATCATTTTTCCTACTGATTTTTTGTCATTTGTCCTTCAAATATATACACGTGTTAATAGATGAATAGATATGAGCGTTAGTCACTGGTGTTTAATTAACTTTTAGTACCTCAGGGAGATATTAATTTGTATAGACTTAATAAAACTTCATGGAGGGTATAACTGCAAGTTTTCCCTGCTTGTGAAAGCTTATGAAATTACAAGTCACATACATATACTTTTATATTTCCGTTTAAGGGAATAACAGGCTTTTTTCAACTTTTGGTTAAGCATCCACTATATATCTCTACTAACTTACATCAAGACTTCTATGAACTCATAAAACTAGTTTCCATTATACAATAGATAGCTGCATAATATAAAGAACCATGATACTATTAGACAATACATTCATTACCTTTTGTTGAACCTGTAATCTAATCATGTTTTTGAGTTTGGGATTCAATCACCCTCCACAAGAACCATTGCTTTTGGCTTCCTTCAACAGCTTCACCACTTCGAGCATTGTTGGTCGCTTCCATGGCTCATCGTTGGTGCATAACCTTGCAATGGAAAGAACGCGCAGCATTTGATCCTTCCATAATCCTGAACCTGAAAAAAATGGATCCAATGTTTCAATCTCCCTGCCATTCGCGACCATCCACCTCACCCAGCCAACAAGATTGCCTCCCTCAACATCAGCCTGTCCTGTCGGCGCCCTTCCTGTCACCAGTTCCAACATCACCACTCCAAAGCTATATATGTCACCTTTGGTTGTAGCCATCATTGTCTGTCCATACTCGGGTGGTATGTACCCGAATGTACCAGCAAGGATTGTGCTAACATGGCTCTCACATGCACTAATGATCCGAGCCAGGCCAAAGTCCGATACTCGTGGCTCAAAATTCCTGTCCAGGAGTATATTGCTTGACTTGATGTCTCTGTGAATGATGTGTGGAACAAAACCATGGTGTAGAAAGGCAAGTCCGCGAGCTGACCCTAGACAAATCTTGAAACGAGTTGGCCAATCGAGTGCTTCTACTGCATCTGCTTGGTTTCTCAACCAGAAATCAAGACTTCCATTCTCCATGTATTCATATATCAAGAACCTCTCATCAGCAAAGATACAATAGCCAAGCAATGGCACCAGATTTTCATGTTTTACTTTCCCAATTGTTTCCATTTCAGCAAAAAACTCGCGATCACCGTGCACGTGACCTCCATTCAGCCTCTTGACAGCGATAGTCCGGCCTTCAGGCAGTTTGGCTCTGTATACAGTACCAAAGCCACCATCACCAATGATGTAGCTCTTGCTGAAATTCTCAGTGGCTGAGAGAATAGCTGTAGGGTTGATCCGTAACAAAGATTGCTCAAAGGTTGCAATGTTGATGCTCAGAGGCTCCTTTGGCTTCTTAATCAAAAGTTCATCAGTAGATGTGGGGTCACTTGTCTTCCCTAGTTTACCTTTACCTCTGTCAAGAATTACAGCTTCTTGTCTCAGCATTCTCCATCTGAGAACTCCGATGAGCACCACAAGTGAAATGAACGATGCACCAAAGGCGATAGCCAAGACAGATGCATGGCTTAGAAGTGGTGAAGATGCATATTTTTCTTCCCTGGAAGGTAAAACAGGTTCACTTGGTATGCATTTTGTAGCTTTAGTGCAAGCATCAGGTGCTAGGCCAGTGAATTTGTTGCCGGAGAAATTGGTAAAAACAAGGCCTTCTAAGTCACAAATACTACAAGGAAAGGACTTTTGAAAACTGTTGCTGGATAAATCAATATATGTGAGGGAAGCAAGAGCTGAAAGTGATGGCGGCAAGTTGCCTGTAATTGAGTTGCTATGGAGATCTAGTATGGAAAGGGAAGTCATATTAGAGAGAGAATCGTCAAGGGCACCAGAGAGTTGGTTGTTACTAGCATTTAGGGCCAACAAAGAGCTAGAGGATCTAACATCAAAAGACAATGAGCCCGAGAAAGAATTCACGCTGATATCCAAATAGGTCAAACTTTTTACACTAAATACAGAAGGCGGCAATGGACCACTCAACAAGTTATTTGAAAGATCTAGCTTGACTAAACTTGGCATCATAGAGTCAAGATTATCAGGAATAGATCCACTTATCTGGTTACGAGAAAGAATGAGACCTTGTAGGCTTGTCATCGAGAACAACTGAGGAAACACTGGACCTGTCAAGGAATTGAAAGATAGATCAAGCAATGTTAAATTACCAAGCAGAGATATTTCACGAGGAACGCTCCCAGTGAGCTTATTTCGCTGTAGAAGTAGCTCTGTCACAACTATGCAATCTTTAATTGAGCGTGGGATGGAACCTTCTAGTTCATTGTTGGACAAATCAAGCATGCCGTAATGCTGTGTGAACTCAGAGTCAGGTAAAGGCATGTTTTGGAAACCAGCACAAATGTCCTCAGGTATAGGACCAGTAAACTGATTGTCAGATAGAACCAAATTGTCTAGCAATTTCAGCTTAGATATTGATATGGGAATTTCACCTGAAAGATTGTTTGCACCAAGGTTTAAAGATACCAACTTTCTACATTCAAAAAGCTCAAGTGGAATACCTCCACTTAACTTGTTACCATGAAGAGAAAGATTGGTCAGATTCTTCAAGTTACCAATGGTACGCGGTATGCTTCCTTCAAACAGATTATTATCAAGTTGCAATCTCTGAAGGGTTGAAGCTTTTGCAATACTCACTGGAATTGAACCTTCAAGCATATTGTTGCTGAGTGAGATCCCCATTAAAGTTTTCGACTCCCATAGTTCATCTGGTAGCTTTCCAGAGAACTGGTTTTTCGATAGTTCAAGAGTAATGAGCTGAAGTTCCCCTAGATAAGCAGGCAGTTTGCCCGAGAGTTTGTTTCCAGACAACACCAAATCTGTGAGTCTTGAACAGTTCTTGAAAGTACTTTGGATGTCACCAGTGAAATTGTTATCCGACAACTGCAGAATGGTCAATGACTTGGCACGACATATTTCTGAAGGCAACTCACCAGATAGCTTATTGTCACTGACATCAAGAACTGATAGCAAAGGCAAATTAAGTGGTGGTAGAGGTCCACTTAGAAAATTCTTTGGCACCATTATTGACTCCACTTGAGTCCAGTTGGAAATCCACATAGGCAGTGGACCTGATAAGTGGTTCGAATCAAGTACAAGAGATTTAAGTGAATCCAACCCAGAAAGTCCATCAGGTAATGCACCAGAAAATGAGTTGAAGGACAAATTTATTATCTTGAGCCTTTTGCAGTTCCCTAGTTCCGAAGGAATCGTTCCAGACAATCCAGCATTTGGAGCAATAAGGTAAACCAGATTTTCTAACTTTCCAAAGCTTGAAGGAAGCTCTCCATCAAAATCATTCTGTGCTACATTCAAGTATGTCAAGTTGCTCAACGCGGAAATTTCTTCAGGAATACTTCCAATGAATTTGCAGTTTTGGAGATCAAGCACCTCGAGCTGCTTCAGATGGCCAATTGTTTCAGGTATATGTCCAGTCAACATGTTTGATGAGAGATCAAGAATTCTAAGCTTCCTTAGGTTTCCAATTTCTGGAAGTATCAATCCAGTCAAGTTGTTTTGACTAGTATCGATATATAGAAGCTCCATCAAGTTACCTAGACTGGAAGGTAGACTACCAGAGAAGAAATTTGAGCTGAGGTCAAGAGACTGCAACTTCTCCATGTTTCCAATCTCATCAGGAATATTTCCAGATAAAGAGTTGGCATGAACTGATAATTCCCTGAGCTCCTTTAGTTCACCAATTGTTGATGGTAAACTACCTGAAAAACCATTATCGTCGAGCACAAGATGTCTCAGGTTTCTCAGGTTAGATATAGTAAGAGGCAGCTGGCCAGTTAACCTGTTGTCGCTCAAGTCTAGTATCTCCAAATTCTCAAGAGTCCAAACATCCGGAGATATATTATCAGTGAAGGCACAATGGCTAAGGTTTAAGTGCTTAAGGGATCTGAATTTTCCAATGTTTCCAGGAAATGGTACATTTAGTGGTGCAACTCCACATGAAAAATCAATCCGGATAACACGTTCACCTTCACACTTTATGCCAGTCCAATTGCAAGGAGTAGTCTTTGTATCAAACCAAGTTGGGATAACATCCCTTTTCTGGACAACAGAATTTCGGAGAGCCTTTAGTAACTCCATGTCATGGACCAAATAGCTGCCAGTAGTAACAGGTTGTTGTGTAAAGCAGAGAAAGATGATCATTAATAGTACACAAGCCTCCCATTTTGAACCTTTGTTTGCCATTCTTGAGCTACTTCAGGACAATATCTGATATCACTCTCAAAGAATCACTCTGCAAATTGATCCAAAAACAAGATGAAACAAAACCATATAAATAAAAGCAAATGTGCAGCATGATAGGATGACAAAAAGCTATACACAAACATACACATTAATTCATTTTTGTTTAGCAAAGTCATTGATGCTGCTATAAACTTGTCAACTTTGATGTGTTTGGACATGATTTACATAGAATCTTAAACTGGTACATAAATCAGAGAAAACAAACTAAATCTCTTCATATACATAAATGGCAAGGCAGGAACTCAATTAACATACCTTTTGACAGTTGAAACTTGAGTTAGAGTGAACACCTTCAAGTTAAATGCACCTATAATAAAGCAAAAACTTGTATAAGCTTCAAATCTATTATTTCCATAATAGAAAAAAGTGTTGGATATTCTTTTATATTATGAAATGGTGTCAAGAATTGATTTAGAGAAATGAATATCCAAGATCAGTGTATTCTATAGTACCTGGAAAGTACAAACAAAAGGCTTAAAGAAACTAAACACCATGTTAACCATAATATTTATCCATCACCAAAAATTATAGTGCTTCATTTTCTTGTAAAGCTTAAGATTAGTTAATTAATTTGGTTTGAGTACCAAAAATTTTCATTTTTTTGCTTGAATTTCATGTCGATTCAAATTATGTCACATAAATTGGAACGGAGGGAATAATATACTTTGTACAAATACTAAGGGCTTGTTTGGTATCCCGAATTAAATTTAGGATGATTTTGTCCCACGTTTGGTTTGGATAAAATCGTGGTATAACTAATCCGCAGATTGTAGTGCTATTTTTATCTTAAGCTCGCTTATTCCGGGATAACTAATCTCGGATAAATTAATCCTAGAATATAACTTGTTTCCAAACCAAACGACCCCTAAAACTCTTAAAAATAGTAATTTTTGAGTAGAAGAACTGCATATGAAGCCAAGAAAAAGGCCAAAAAGCAAGGTCTAAAGTTATTACACGAAAATGAACAGGTTCACAAAAAGACAAGAGTGAAAAATGAGGAATCTCTGCTTGTTCTCTGAGTGTTAAAACTGTGGAGCAAAAAACTATCCATAAAAAAAGCTGATAGCTTTATAGTATTAGACAACTAGGCATTGGGCTCAAGAAAGATCTGAACAACATTTTAATGATATGCATGTTATTCCCTATAAAAAAAAGCCATAAATATTTAAACCTTTCTCACACGCATTTATTTTACTAAAAATAGCAAAAACTGGTAGAACAAGCAAATGGGTTCCAAACAAAAAGAGAGGAGAAAAACGACAACATTTATGAATCTACACGTTATGTGTGATTTAAAATTATTAAAATGGAACTCTCCCTTAACACACTTCTTAATGTCTTTACTTTCCAAATTTAAGTGAAGTACTTGTAGTTGATAGAAAATTGCCAAAAATAGCACTTTTTTTTTTCAAAAATAAACACCGAGATTTATTCATAACAATCTCATTTTTGTATGGTGTATACACAAGAATAGTATACTATGAAACAGGTCTAAACAACATGTTTAACCAAACAACAAAACCCCCACTTAACGAAAAAAAAGAGCTAAGAAACAATAAAGATGGCAAAGCAAATGAAGTTTTTGAAAAAAAAAACATAAAATCAAAAAAGAAAAAAAAGACAGACCCATAAGCAAAAAATGAGCTAAAATTTTAGGAAAGGTAATAAAAATGGAGTTCTTGGAATCAGGAACCTCAAAAAAGATACCTTTGAGAACAAGAAGAAGAAGCTGTTCCGTACATTTTCTGTGTGTTTTTGAAAACTCAGACATTCAAGAAATTAAAAGCACAAAAAATTGAAACTGATCTAGATGCAACAAACCCCAGTTAACAAAAAAATGAGCTAACAACAAATAGGTATGACAATTTGGAAAAATGGTGTTTTTGAAAGGAACAGCAAACAACAACAAAAAAAAACATAAACAAAAATGAGCTAAAAACTGGGAATGTAATAAATATGCAGTTCTCAGAAATTAAACAAAACAAAAAAACTGAGAAAAAAGCTACCTTTACAGAAGAAGAAGAAGAAGAAGAAGAAGAAGAAGAAGAAGCTGGTGTGATTAGTGATATATTCTGTTCCGTACAGCTCTATGGGGCTGTTTTTTTGAGAAGTAACAATAAATAAATAAAAACAGAACCCTATAAACAAAAAAAATGAGCTAAAAACTGGGAATGTAGTAATAAAAATGCAGTTCTTGGAAATCAAAAAAAACTTAGAAAAAGAGCTGAGTACCTTTTTCAGAAGAAGAACTGAAGAAGAGTGATATTCTGTTCCGTACACTTTTATGGGGCTGTTGTTGTTTTTTATTAAAAGCTAGCTCTCAAAGACTACACTCTGAAACTGAAAATGAAATCTGTAAAAATCTGAAATGATTCTCTCCTTCAGTACTACTACTCATCAATGGTGTGTGTGTGTGTGTGTAGGTGCGAAAGGCGTGAGACTGAAAATGCTGTTTTTTGCTTTTGTATTTCAGTTTCACATAATAATACATCCAAAAATAGGACTGCTGATAAGGACGGTTACGTTCTGGAGCTGACCTCAGCTCAAAACAGAAAGGGATCAGTTTTCTTGCTCTTCTTTTCCACTCATTTTCTCTCTCTCACTTGCAGTTATTTTGCAGACTTTAATTATTACTATTATTATCATTTGTTTAGAAAGTAAGGAGAGGAATGGAAATATAAAAGATTTTTTCTCATCTTGTGTTTGGTTTTGCATTAGAAAAATTAAAGTTGGAAATACTTTTCTGTTCACCCAATTATTACTAATATGGTCTAGACAATATTTGGCTAAAGTAGAAAAAGAAAGTGTTCATTATCAATGGATGTGTTGGGTGGATGGATTCCGTTTCGATAATTAGAGGTCTCGAGTTCAAGTTTTGAAAATAAAGAAATTTTGGATACAAAATAATTTAGCGAATTTGAATTAGTTGGACCATTGAATATCAACATAAGATGATACGCGCACACACACAAAAAAAAAAAAAAAAAAAAAAAGAGAGAGAAAAAATTATTTGAAGTTAAAAATTTAAAAATAAGAGTACTTATTTGAGATAGTTTTGTTTGGAATATGTTAAAAGGAGAGGGAAATAATAGTACTTACTTTAGTATGAAAACATAAGGAAGAAATAAGTTATTTCTTTCCTTATTTGGTTTGAGAAAAAAAATGAATTGGAAATGAAAATTGTGTATCTTCTTTCACATAACACTCAGCATCATGTTTTCTTATGAAATTTTTTAGCTTCTTTAATTACTAGTATTAGTACCCGCGCGGACGCACGAATATTAATCATGTCAAATATTTAAATTATTTGGATTGTATGCAAATAATCTTAAAATTTGTACTTTCTTTATAAATATAGATAATAATTGAATATTTAATACATGAAAAAAATTAACCATTTCTTATATTTTTCTTTTTTGATATCATTCTTGCCGGTATCATTGGATCCTATAAATAGTAACTCATATTTATGGCAAAACAATCAAATGTTGAAACAATGAATGACTCTTTGGATAAGACTTAACTCTTTTACTACTACTTGATCTCCTATTTGGTGTGTTGATATCTCTTAAAAAATATTTCTTTCTTAAAATTTCAGTTTCTAAAACATTATTTTTCAATAATAATTATTTTATAATAATGTAATTGAAAATATTATTCTTAATTCACAACTCATTTTAGTTGGCTATCTAAAAATATAAAAAATTCTTTAGCTAGTGAATTTTTTTTACTCCATTTTGATATTTGACATTAACCATGTTAAATATTTGAGTTATTTGAATTATATGTAAATAACCTAAATATTTAAACCTTATAAATAAATATAGATAATCGTCAGAACACTACATGAAAAAAGACTAACATTTTCTCAATTCTGGTAGTGATAATTTTATATTTGCGCTATTCTCATAGGTGTCATTGGAACCTAAAAATAGCCACAAAGTGAAATAATAACTCATATTTATGGCAAAGCACAAAGGTTGACACGATATAAACGATTCTTTGATTACGATGTGACTCTTATACTACGACTTGAACTCTTATTTGGTATGATTTTATATTTCAAAAAATATTTCTATTTTGAAATTTCGATTTCTAAAACTTTATATATATTATAATAATGATTATCTTTTGATGATGCAAGTGAAGATATTATCCTTAATTTAAAATTCACTTTAAATGACTATCAAAAAATTTAAATGATTCTTTGGCCGAATTTATTTCAGTATGACTCCACTTTAAGTTTATCGATATCTGTAGCCCCAAAATTTAAATTTTTAATACCCAATATATACAAAAAATTTGTTCTTTAAATCATTAAATGTTAAATTAGTTGATTACTGTTATTATAAAACGTTGCATATATTATCTTAAAATTGTCAAGTAGTATCTTGCAAGAAGCTTCAAAACACTGAGGTATGTACCAGATTTCAACTTCCATCCTAGGTGTGACAAATTAAATATCATTCAGCTGGGGTTTGCAGATGACCTATTACTATTCAGCAGAGGTGATACTATCTCCATTCAAATGGTGTACAACTGTTTCATGGAATTTTCAAGGGCATCTCGACTAAGAGCAAACACAACAAAAAGCTCCATTTATTTTGGAGGGGTGCCACAGAATATACAAGAACATATAGTGCAGCTAACTGGATTTAGCAGGGGAGAATTGCCTTTCAAATATCTTGGAGTACCAGTCAGCACTAAGAGGATATCCTTGTTACAATGTCAACCTCTACTGGAGAAGATACTAGGCAAGATCACATCATGGACTTCAAAGTTCTTATCTTATGCAGGCAGGATGCAGCTAATTAAATCAGTCCTATTCTCTATTCAAATCTACTGGTCACAGATTTTTGTCATCCCTAAGAAGATAATGAAGAAGATAGAAACAATATGTAGAACATTCTTGTGGACTGCAGGGACAGAGGCTTCAAAAAGAGCTTTGATATCATGAGAAAAAGTGTGTTCACCAAAATCAGCAGGAGGATTCAATGTTGTGGATGTTCAAATATGGAACAAGGCTGCCATTTGCAAATTATTATGGAACCTATGCAAAAAGAAGGACAAGCTATAGGTCCAATGGATCCATCTATACTATGGGAAGAAGCAGGAAAGCTGGGAAGGTAAATCAAAGAATGCCTCATGGATGGTGCAGAAATAATCAAAGCAAAAAGATACATTGAAGAAGCAGGAGCCAGCATGGAAGAAATAAATGAATGGAACTATTTTTCCATAAAGAAGTTGTCACGACCCAAAATCCACTAAGGGTCGTGGTGGCGCCGGACACCGCTGTCAGGCAAGCCAACTAATTATCCATTGAATTCTCCTTTTAATTATATAGAAATCTTACCACCTGATAAGTTGGTACATGTTGATGATGTTTCCCACAGTGGCCGAGACGATATGATGGGATGCCCGCAGAGGCTTGATTATATTATTTACACCTATACCTATGCATGACACGATATTTATATGCACGTGCATGACATTATAAATGTTTCAGAATTTATAAAGTTATTCAGATTTACATATGGATTTCTTTATTCAATGTTTCATCTATGCCTTTTACGTACAGATTTTCATGCCTTACATACTCAGTACATTTTTCGTATTGACTCCCTATTTTATGGGGCCTGCATTTCATGCCCGCAGGTGCAGGTAGGCAAGGTGACAGTCCCCCTTCTTGGGATCCTTGATTAGCGAAAGTTGGCGTGCTCCACTTGGCCCGAAGCTCTTTTTGATTTTTGTATGATATGTTTGTGTATATATATATATAAGTATGACGTGGCTCAGTCCCGTCTTTGTACAGTTATATTTCTATTAGAGGTCTGTAGACAGTATGTCTAGTTAGATAGTATGTGGCCTTACCGGCTTCCAGTTTTGAGGTACATAGTTGTCTGTAGTAACCTTCTCAGCTCGCCCTACGTATGTTGCACGTATATGTACATATGCCTTTTTGGGCATGTTTCCTTCATGTATATTATTCTCATAATCTAGCAGATGTTATACAGGTTTATATCTTAGACGCATGCGTAGGGGTGTTTGGCAGGTACGACTAGGGCACCCGTCGCGGCCCATCGGTTTGGGTCGTGACATCCCCACTCTCGGAGCCGCTGAAAGAATCCTCATCAATTTTCAGTCTACAATTTTCGTCAAAAATTTTTTACTTGGGCTTGGGACCCCAGAATTCGATTCCGGGCACACGCCAGGTCCCATATATTACTACGGACCTACCGAGACCGTCAAATCACGGGCCCGGGTCCGTTTACTCAAAATGTTGACCGAAGTCCACAAAAATCAAC